TCCTTGCATAAGAATTGTGGAGTCATACAATCAACTACTTTCATAATTGAAAGGTGATATTTTTGTTGTTAAAATAGAAAGGATTTTGAATTTAACACTTTCCTGCTCGGCCTTTGGGTTGAAAAGCCTAAATACTACATTCCTGCAGAAAGGAGATCCACTTTGAACAAACTTCTACAGATTACGTGCTCAAGGACAATTAGAGTGAATAAGAATTATTCTGAATTATTTTGTCTCACATTAATATATTATTTTAATTTAATGTTGTTATAACCGTTCTTACTTCATGATATAAAGCTAGAATGTTATCTTATTCAATATTATTCTTCATAAATCATTTTTAAAAGCTATATTTCTTATGGATGTAAGGGAATATGCCACTGAAGAGGGATGAAACTAGTACAGATAATGACCTTACTATTGAATGTGTTAATTCCAATTAGTAATGATGCTATTAGCCAGTTTTATTTCATTATCTTAAAGACGACATTGGCATTTAATTCTATTAAGATTATTTTAATATTTTGAATGTAATATAGATGAAAAAATAACTCTTGTTATTAAAAAGTTTCTTTTATGCTATTATACTTCATTTTTTTATGACTTTGGTAGACAATACTTTTATTTAAATACTTCATATTAAAATTTATTTTATAAAAACGTGGCTATGACATCATATCCTATTTTTTTGCAATTACATTATGTTATGTCATCAAGTACATGACATGCGGGTCTGTCATCATTTTCATGGTCATGTTTTGTAGCTATTAAAGGAGCTGGATAAAACAGAAACTCATCAAGGATGAGTCATATCCGGCAACTAGTCCAAAGACGAGAATAGGAAGTCAATCAAAATTTGATTACTAATGCCTCCAAGACCATTTTCTTAAAATCTTCTATGCATCACATAACAACAATATTTTCTTAAAACATATTAAAGCACATATAAGGTAAAAAATGCAGAGCATATTTTTAGACTTTTTAATGGAGTCAAAAAAACAGATTGGACAGCACAGGTTGTGCAAACTATTACAAACAATACTATTGCAAAAAAAGTCAACTCAGAAGATGATTCTAATAATGATCCAGTGAGCCCTGAGTATGGAATATTTTTGTACATAAAATTTTTAATTTTGGGGGGCATGTTATACTCTTATTTTGGTGAAAAAGCAATTGGAGTGAAAGAGAGACTAATTTTGTCGCACTTATTTGGAATTCTTATTTCTCATATTAGTATATTATTTAATTTAATATTGTATAACCCTTCTTACTTCATGATTTAAAGCTAGGATGTTTACTTATCCCTTATTACTTCAAGAATTTATTACTCCTGTTAAAATGTTCATATGCAGTTTTGATATTACTTCTTGCTTCACACTTTGAAGTTAGTATAATATTTATTATTTTGTGTAATTTGTTGATTTGAATCTTACGCAATAAGATGCGTTAAAGTTCCAACTCCCTCACAAATAAAAAACACGTCAATACTAAATTGCACAATTTTAAACATACATTTATATATGTAAGTACCTTTATTCATAAAAATCAATTTACTAATTTAAGTAAAAAAATCCTAAATTATATTAGATTTTCCAAACCATAATTTAAAATTATTGATAGAAATTGCTTTTTTTCCTAAATTTTCTTGTTTTTAGTTCAATATTAACAATCATAAAGTTTATTAAATTTTCTATTTATAGTTTAATATCATCGAACCCCAAATATATTTGAAATGGATGGACGAATTGGGAAAGTTGCCCAAAAAATTAGCTTTGACAATTGATGTCTGATATGCACAATATTTTTCATATATCAATGCTCAAAAATAGGTTATTAATAAAAATTAAAGATTGCATTACATTGGCGTGCAGAATAACTTAACTTATTATGGGGAACTAGAAAATATACTAGACTTTGGTTTTAAAGATCTTAGAAACAAATAAATTATTTATGTAAAGGCGAAAAAGAAGCACAAAAACTGAGAAAAATTGGAAAATATGAGATAAAAATTTCTTACTTAATTGAGAAAGTAAAATTCAGAGAAGAAATTCTAGTAAAGGGAAATATTATAATACTCCAGTCTTTGTAAAGTTAAAATTTATGAAGTCCACAAATTTTATATCGCATTTTATGCACCTTTCAATAATGATAGACTGTCTATAAAATCCAATATTTTCAAGGATTAACGGGAGAGAGAGAGAGAGAGAGAGAGAGAGAGAGCTTTTGTTATGTAGCTTTAAAATGACAATTACACTTTTTGCAATAGTAGGATTTGAAGATTGTATAAGGAGATCTGAATTTGATGTAAGAGAATATTTTGAGGTACTTCTAATTATATTGGAGGTGAAGTTATATGTTTTATGAATTAGAAAATATAAATTTCATAAGCTACTTATAGAAGAACATGATTTCGAGGTGATTGTATTGACTAAGTATATCCTATGATCGATTATCTTTTAGGTAACATATTGAATTTCTAATTCAAAAAGCAAATTTTACTCTAGTATTTTGTGCACAAATTAATATGTATTTAAATTTGTTCATAAGTACACATTAGAAAGTCTTCATATTAGAAAATGCAAACTTATGCACTACATTTTATGATTATAAGAATAAAAATTCATTTTTAATGATGACGGGCACTTGCTAAAAAGTTATGAGTGTGTTAAAACTTTCTTCAATTTATTTACTTTATAAAACAAGACAAATGACACTTATAGGCTAAATACTAAAGCAATGTTGAATAACCAATTTAAAATGAATGTTTTTTATATTTAAATGTTTAATAATGAAAATAAAATGAGCTTAAAAAAGATCATTTATGTGAATATGTAAACTATGATAGTTTTATGATAACATGCATAGACAGGGCAATAAATACGAGTATACATGAAGGTATCATTTATGTGAATATGTTAGCCATGATAGCTCTACGATAACGTGCATAGATAGGGCGACAATGATGAGTTTATATGAAAGTAAAAGAGCCCTCCACTTGGTATATTTATGATAATTTTTACGTTCATGGCAACAAAGATGAGCACATATGTAGTAAAATGGTCAACAACATGATAGATTTATGATAGCATGTAGACGATAAAGGTGAGCCCATATGAAGACAGAAGGGCTCTCAAGTTGATCTTTTTATGATAACATATACAAGTAGGACGATAAAGGTAAAATTTTATGACAGTAGAATGGACCGTAATATGTGACCATAGGAAGGGTTTGATTTTCAGCGGTATGATATGTGGCATGAATCTAACATAATTCACTATCTTATAATGACTAATGAACCTAGATTAACAAATATGATAAATTCTAAAATTAAAATTAAAATTTTACAATGAAATGAACAAATTAAGAAATATTAATTTCCAATGTTAAAACTCGTAAGCTTGAAAAAACATGATTTGTATTATAATTGACAATAAATATCTCTTTTAAAGTCCTTTTGTATTAAATTATTTCATTTATTATTAAGTTATTATTCAAAAATGACAACTTTCACATGTAATGCACAAGTCTAATCCTTGCTTTGTTTTAACTTCTCATGTTCAATTCATATTTAGCATATTATGATAATTTATTTCATTAAATATTACAATTATATTTTAAATTTAGTTCATTGCACATTGCGCTGGCAATTATTTCCGGCAAAGCAAAAAAGTATGATTTATAAAAAATAATGATAAAGTAGGGAGAAAATTAATCTATGTTTAGATGTAATTTTTGGGTGCAAGATATGAAGTATTTTAAGGTATGTTTATGATAAAAGTATGATATTATATAATTGAACTTTGATGCTGGTTAAAAGCTCAAAATATAATGAATAAAATATTTTGGATAAAATTTATGTTAAACTTTGGATTCTTATGAGTTAAAATTATATTATATGACTTGATTGAGACACTTGGTGATTTACATATCTTTCACTCTGTTTTAATGGGTAGAGTTTAAAATGAGCGTTGCTAATAAATTCAGTTAACTGTTATACCCGCCTCTATTATGCCTTTTATTCAATTGGGCAGGTGATACAATAAACAACCCAACGTTTGTTAATAACATGCAACTGCATAAAAAATGCGAACAAACTAAATAGGTATTCAAAAAAATTCAAAATTTATTCAAGTAGGCAAAGCTTTTTCATAATCAAATAGATGGGTTGAGTGTTTGCATCTTCTCAAAAGGAAAATGCCAACATAGAAAGTTTAAGCCTATTTAATTCATTTTATGCACGACTTTTATTCAACCATAAAGGTGTCCTCCTTAACGCTCTAAACAAATTAAAATTATCCATCATACAAGAAAACTTGAAGCAACTGCATAAAAAATGCAAACAAACTAAATAGGTATTCAAAAAAATTCAAAATTTATTCAAGTAGGCAAAGCTTTTTCATAATCAAATAGATGGGTTGAGTGTTTGCATCTTCTCAAAAGGAAAATGCCAACATAGAAAGTTTAAGCCTATTTAATTCATTTTATGCACGACTTGTATTCAACCATAAAGGTGTCCTCCTTAACGCTCTCAACAAATTAAGATTATCCATTATACAAGAAAACTTTTCCTACAAACATATTGCTGAACAAAATATGAAATAAGCTTGAATTTTTTGAGTATACTAATCATATATCATTTGATCCAGATACCTTGGCCTTTTCCAGCGCAAAAATACATATAATTCATCTTTAAATTGAATGAAAATTACTCTCTCAAATCACAGCCAGACCACCGTTTTACTGCATTGTTAGACAATCATATTTCAATAGGAAGTCATTTAAGAAAACTGTCAATAACTATCAATTTACCATTTCCATAATAGTCGCTGGTACTTCCCAGGTACTTGGTCCAGTCTCAAAAAGTCAATTTTGAAAAGCATGGCCGTACAGAAGTTTTTTTTATCACATCCACGACTTTGCAAAAGTATTATTTCATTGTTAAGAATATTGCTCTATCATGTTTGCCCCGTGCAAACCTAACTTGATAAACTTATAAATGACAAAAAGAAGGCAATTTAATGTGAATATAACAATTTTCTGAAAGAAAAAAAAAATGAAATAATCAACTTACGTGATAGCCCAAGTCCAGGCAGTATTCTTCCATTTCCGAGTGTAATATGGTTCTTATATCTGCGATCATCAACAGCAGCAGCTACTGTTGTTATCCAAGGACTAAAAGATACGAGGGTTTTCGGGAATGGGCCTCCATTTCCAGCTGCTTGTGCAACAAAAACCCCAGCTTTCACGGCAGAAAGAAGGGCTGCATCAAAAGGATTCAAGAATGTGGTTTTTGTAGTTGATGGTGGGCTGTTTGGACCAACTGAAAGATTAATGACATCCACTCCATCCTGAACAGCCTGTTCACATTATATTTTCCACATAAAACCTCCTCCAATGATATCTCATAACAATATCGGATAGTTTTGAGCGCTGGCCAGTTCAGTAAGAAATAACGATTGGAAGCAATTTAACAATAAAATAAATTATTCAGAATAAACTCGATAGAATCATCTTAATCAGAGTAATTCCCACAGGCATAACGTTCGTTGCCTCATTTGATCGGGTATTACTGTTGACACCAAAATGGTCTGAATTATAAAAGTTGTTAAAACCCAGTAACGTTTAAATTAAAATATCTTTCAAGGATAAATGTATAAAAAATACATCATTAGATAATAATTTTACAGTCATTCATTTAAGAAAATGACATTAACAACTATAACAGTAAGCCACATGAAATTCTAGTAATTATCTACGACTATAGCAAAACAATTCTATGAACACGCAAGCTAGTACCTGATCAATAGCAGCCACTACATCAGATACATAGCCACCAAAAAGCCTATAAAGAACTTTGTAAATAGCAATCCTGCAAGAAAAAGGACAAAAAAGTACAGCTACCAAATTGCTTATTTGAGCCCAAATTTCATATCATCTTCATATAATAAACATGGTGCAAAACCTGGCTCGTGGAGCCATGCCGCTGGCCTTGCCAAACTCATACCCATGCATTCTCACTGGAACTCCATTGTTTCCAGCAGCTATTGCAGCTGTGTGACTGACAAAGTATATGAATGAGAAAAATTAAAATAAGGAATAGTAATCATAATATTTCCATTTCAATTCAAAAGATGATGAGAATCTAATAAAAACTGCAAGGAAACAGGTCTAAAAATTTCTTCGTATTTCATTTGGATAAAAACACACAAGATATAAAGTATCAATATAAGTTGCGTTCGTTCAGCACTGAACAGAAAATGATATACTTCATGTAACACTAATTACAAGATATGTTGAAATCAATAGCAACATCAACAAAATTCTGAGAATTACATGTTCACCCTCCAAATGGTAGTCATTTAGAAAATAGAAGCAACAACAGGTAAGAAATAACCAAACTCCTAGGACAATAAATGATTGATTCAAATTTTTTTCCACAGAAGTAAATATGCAAGATCAAAGGCATCACCGCAAAATGCAAAAAGGACAACAATAAGCTAGACATAACTTCATCATCTATGTAAGTATTTTTAAGTAGAAAATATCACGCAGTTTAATTTGCTAACAAGAATCTTTAGTAATAAACAGCTAAAAAAATATTTCATCACACTAAACATACAACAACAACAACAAACCTTTATCCCACTAAGTGGGGTCGGCTACATGAATCCTTTTTCTCCATTGCGTCCTATTGAGTGTCATATTTTCATTTAATTCTAATAAATTAAGATCATTTTTTATACAATATGACCAAGTCTTTCTAGGTCTACCTCTGCCTGCCTTAACATAAGCCAAATCTAAAAAATCTACTCTCCTAGTTTGATCATCAGATGGTCGACGTTAAATATGACCAAATCATCTAAGACGACTTTCTCTAACTTATCTGTCACTGGAGCAAAAAAAACAAATATTTAAATTGCTGATTGTCAAAAGCGTAACTCACTTCATGCATTGTTTTACAAAACAAACAGCAGGAAATCAAAATAGCACTCATTATGTGCTCTATGTACTACAGCACATGGTAGATAGAGTGTGTTATTTTATCAGCCATGCTTGGGAACTATTAATATGGCAAGAGATGAGATGCCTGAGGGGAAGAGACCACAGAAAGAAAGTGAATCTTTTATTACCAGGAGAATAAATGTTACACTACTTGTTTTTACATGACAAAGGCTTCTATATATATATGTATGAAAGTTTTTATTAAAGGCTATAGATATATTGGTTGATAGCTGAAATAAAGAAGTCACCTGAAATCCTGTAGCAACGGTGTACCAGTAATACTCCCCCTCAAGCCGAATTATAGATATATTTTATAGCCACATTAGATAGAAGTGTGGTTAAGGGGCCAACTATTAATGGTTCGGTGAAGACGGTTGCAAATTGTTGTTCAGTTATAGTAGGCATGAGCTTCATGGAGCCGTCAACGACTTTGTTTTGAATAAAGTGACAATAAATCTCAATGTGTTTTGTTCTCTCATGAAAGACATAAATAATTGCAATATGAAGAGCAGCTTGGTTATTAGAAAATAGAGAATAAAGACATATTTGAATGTCCAGTAAGAGTTGAGTTAGCTAAGTTAATACACAAATAGGAGTCGCTACAATACTATGCTTCAACTAAGAAAGAAGATTATATGATGCTTTTTTAATTTCCAAATTATTAAAAAAATTTCAAAATAGATACAAAAATCCATGAGAAATTCTTTGCGTAAAAAATAGGATCCCTAGCCAGTGTTGAGTAAATTGAGTGCATTAAAAATTAGGATAATTTGTGTGTTAATTTATATATGTTTTTGCACATTTATCATACTAATTAAGTTATTTTGTGATCAAGGGAAAAAAATGGAAGAAATCAAACAAAATTGAAGGGATAGCATCACTGCTCTAGATGACAAAATTTAAAGCTAGAAACTCGAGAGCTTGGTGCCACAATGTGAGTTTAGCAAGGAGAAACGCTAGAGGAGATCAAATTTAGAGAAAAACCCAAAAGCTTGGACATAGCATCATATTTCAACGCCGTGACTCAATAGTTCGAGCACCAAAACACTAATCCATGAAGAAAAATGGCCTAAAACCCAGGAGCTTGACAGCGCAACACTACTTCAACAGCATCGCAACACTAATTTGCAGTGCCACAGTGTGACAACCGAACAAGAAATTGACGAAGATTTGTGTATGATTTGGTAAAGTAACAATAGAATTTGTTACATTTTTCATATGATAAAACATGTTTGCATTTGGGTAGAAGTGTCGACAAGCACCTGAATTGATGACCAAATGTTTATTGTATAATATTTTTGGAATAAGACTAACAAGTTGTGAGGTTGAGGAGGATTCACTACCACTGATGGTAAACCTAAGGTGCTAAGATAGCATTCTTATAAGTTGTTTATATTGGTCTTTATCTAAGATTTGGAAGAACGTTGACGTTCCAGTGGCTGAGATAATTTCATAGATTGATGTCTCAGATTAATTGTACATAATCTTTGGATTAGTTATTTTGTTGTTTGTTGTACCCGAGAGGATAACTCAAGCAACTTTCTTTCATAGTGTCGTTTTGAGCATATGTAATTAGTTAGATTTGTTCTGAGTATATGTAGTAGACAAATATCCTCTACTTCTAGTATATTTTCATAGATTGATGTCTCAGATTAATTGTACATAATCTTTGAATTAGTAATTTTGTTGTTTGTTGTACCCGAGAGGATAACTCAAGCAACTTTCTTTCATAGTGTCGTTTTGAGCATATGTAATTAGTTAGATTTGTTTTGAGTATATGTAGTAGACAAATATCCTCTACTTCTACTTTCTCTGTGTTTGTTTGACTTGTACCTTTTAGTTTTTAATCAATAAAAGATGCAAACTTTCAAGGGACGATACACATACAACTCGTAACACTTTTTCTTAAGTATGACCTTAAAAATGGCAATATGCAAATTGGCGATTGCATTTGCTTCCTTTGTGAATGCCTGAAGTGCATTTCTATCACGTTGATTCCTAATTAGAAAGAAAAATACATCAGTTGTCTTGTTGTCGATTTTCATCAGCTGACTGACACACTAATGCTCCTCTTGTCAGATCAATGAAAAAACTTTGTTGATCAATGGGAGGGGGTCCATCAAGAGAATTTTGCCACTGAAGCAAAAGATTCAATAAGTCCCATAATAAAATACAAGATTGTTGACCTCATGTTTTTATCAATTCATTTCTTGAATTAAGTTTTAATTGAATCTTGAGAAAACCCTAATTTAATAAAACTGAAAATTAAATTAACAAAATTATATTAACCAAAACAAACTGCAAATATAACCAACTTTTAATCATACCCTAAAATTGACCTAATATTAATCTTAATTAACCAAAATCCTGAGATTATAGTTGTCTCTTCTAAAGTCATTGTAGGATTCAAAACTTCATTCTGAAATTTGCATGATACTAATTATCACATATAAAGACCATGCCAACAAGTTCGACGATCGTTGAAAGAATTTTACATAAAATTTTCAAATTCAATTTTCATGCATTAATAGTTGTATCTCACTAACCCTAAAATTATCATTTTCTCCACAGGTAAATCTAGTGATCCAAATTACAGTTTGTAAGTCGAATAACCTTCATAATCACATATAAGGAGCATACAAACCCAATTTGGTGGTCATCAAAAACCATTTCTGTAGAAAATTGTGCACCTAGGATTTTCATGCATGAAAAATGACCCCACGTAAGAATTTTTCAACAAATTATTATTTTTTCAAAAAGGACTTCTTCATTGTATCTGTATTGTCAAAACCTTTTGAATGAGCCCCCCCAGGCCTAAATCTGACTTCGTTTGGAGGTCCATTGAGACGAAGATAATTTGGAGAGAGAAAATAATAATTTCAATAATAAAAAATAATAATTTGACCATAACTACCTCAAAATGACCTTGAATCATGTTTGAACTTCAAGTAAAGTTGTTCTAAATTCAAAAACACGAAATTTAGTATAACAAAATCAATTAAAAACCCCAACTCAAAGTCCAATTTCTCTCTCATAAGGGTTTGTGCCCACTTTGAATTGAAATAATCTCATATGGAGCTTGTTTTGAACAAAACCACTTGCAATACCAAATTTCTTATATTTTTCTCTACCACATGAGTTTAAGTAAAAAAATTTTATCATAACCAGCTTGTAACCACCTTATAACCAACTTTTAACCACCTAGTTACTTCAAAGGTCCATAACTTGAGCTTGACACATTTTTCAAAATGATTTAGACCATTAGATTCCTTGTTTCATTCTCTTTCAAATGACCTATACTTGCATTTTGGCATAACTAGCCTAACTACCTTGGTAAATTACATTAATGCCCTTCCCTTTTTGAAAAGTTCCCTCCATGTCCTTTAATCCTAGCCCTCCACTCCCTCTCATAATATCCTCCATCCAACCTTTCCATCTGATCAATTCAAATCCTTTTATCCCATGTTGATGCCCCATTCTTCCCTCTCTCTTCCACTCCCTTTGATCCTAGCCTTTCATCTCACTACATCCTCCATCCTAGCCCTCCATTGGTCCACCTCATCATGAACCCCCTTCAACTTCTTTTTCCCCCAAAATCCCCACTCAGAAAGCCCCTCTCAAAAACCGTGACCCCCTCATTCTCCTCCACCCTATTCGACCCTCACTCTCTCCCTCTCCTCATTCCTCACCAAAACCCCTCTCCTCTCCATCTTATTCTCAATTTTTCTCCTCTCTTCCCCACCAAACCGAGAGCTTATCCACTCTCTCCTCTTTTTTAATCATCCAAACCAAGACAATCATCAATGGAAATAAAAGCAAAAAAGAACAAGGACAATTTCATTCATGAAAGAAAGTATAACATTACTTTTCCCTCTCTCAATTTGAAATTTCAGCATGTGGTTTAGTAATTCTACATGTTCATGTTATTTCATGTTTAATATCATTTTCCACCATATGATTTAGTAATTATCCATGTTCTTCATATTATTTCATGTTCAGTTTCGTTTTCCACCATGTGATTTAGTAATTCTCCATGATCATATTATTTATGTTCAA